ATGTAACTTTCCCAAAGCAGGGAGAGAACCCTAGTAACATATGTTCTACCCTGTAAACCTTCTGAAGAGTGAGGAAAAAGAAAAGGAGCAAGAATCTCCATTGAGGAGTGGACTAGCCAAGCTTCCAAGCTGGTGAATTACTATACTTTTATTGTGCAAGTCTCCCCCTAATCCCCTAGTAATCTCAAACACAAATTACACAAGCCCCGCAGCTCAATTCCCAGTTGCCAAGTGTAATCCATTCTCTCTGCTCATCCACACTAATTTACACCATCACATTCAAAATATAATAGAAAGTTAGTTGGGCTCTTTAAATGTAGAGAGTCAAATAAGGTCTCTGTTTTAGCAAATCTAAATAGAGAGCGTATTGGCGCTTGATTTTGATAATTGACTCTCTAAAATATAGAGTTGAGTGAGAGCAGAGAGGCCATTAGATATATTCTTACTCTTATATATTGATACATTATCCTGAATAACTCATTCATTTACAATGCACAAACAAGTAATTGTGTGTAGAATTAGTTGTGAAACTAGGCGCGGGTTGGGCAAATTAGAGTTTCAACCCAAGTATAACACGAGGTATAAAAACTACAACCCTAATCCAACTCAAGCCTGAACTACTTAACTTGAGTACTACCCAAGTTAATTNTGTGAAACTAGGCGCGGGTTGGGCAAATTAGAGTTTCAACCCAAGTATAACACGAGGTATAAAAACTCCAACCCTAATCCAACTCAAGCCTGAACTACTTAACTTGAGTACTACCCAAGTTAATTNAAGCCTGGAAACCCAAGGAAGTATCAACATAAAAAATGGGAGGGAGGAAGTAAGTTTAAAAAAAAAGAGAAAGAAAGAAAAGAAAATAGGGCAAGGGTGAAGGTGGAAAGGAACGTTACGTGCTACCTCCTCAACTCTGACAATGGAGAGTGGAATAGGGGCTTCTATTGTTACCTCTGGAAGGTTGAAAAGTTCCATTAATAGGGAGACAGTGGGAGCACCGAGCTTGTGTAGCTTNTTTCTTAAAACTCAAGTTAGCTAATTCGGGCTAATTTTGAGCTTATATTTCGGATTAATCCGGGCTCATAATTCAGGTTGAATTCTGTAAGGGACCTTAAGAAGAAACCTAGCCGACCGACACTTACCTTAAGAAGAAACCTAGCCGACCGACACTTACTCCTTCTAAACTACTGACATTTGCCTCACAGCACCTGGCCGACCGGAAAATAGGCTTGCTGGAGCTAGCCAACCAGTAGCTTGCTACAAGGAACCTAAGGCCCTGCCAACTAACAGGCATTTTGGCCANAATTCAGGTTGAATTCTGTAAGGGACCTTAAGAAGAAACCTAGCCGACCGACACTTACTCCTTCTAAACTACTGACATTTGCTTCACAGCACTTGGCCGACCGGAAAATAGGCTTGCTGGAGCTAGCCGACCAGTAGCTTGCTACAAGGAACCTAAGGCCCTGCCAACTAACAGGCATTTTGGCCATGCCTCGGAAGGCACCTTACTTCCACACCCTATGCTTGCCCACCTCCACTAGACGAGTCCTACTCAGCCTAAGGATTAACTTAGAACCTGAAGTCCTAGTACGATACTACTCCAAATATCTAGGAGTTGGTGATAAGACACTAAGGAATAATAGTCCTAGTCTAATATTATCCCGAATTTTGAGGGGTTAGTGATAAGGTTGATCCTATCATAACCTAGAGTTTGGGTTCCTTTGAGACATAACTTCCTATCACTATAAATAAAAGGGATTCAATCCTAGCATATTCACTACATATTATCTTCGATCACTTTCTAACTTAAGCATCGGAGTTCCTTTGGCCGCCTTCTGTCATCAGTCACTTGGATGTTCTCTTATTTACTCAAGACTTCCTAGCCATCCTCTCCGTTCGTACGAGGTGGAGACTCATAGTATGAAATTATCCCCGCATAAATTCAAAACATGCAAAATAGAAGGGGGGAAAGGGAAAAAAACTAAACCATCAAGAAAAGCAATTTACACTTCATGCTTCAAACTAGTAATGGCACAAATCCTAAGTTAGGTAGCGAAGAATTATGTATATATTCACATTCACATTATATATATGTATACAGATGGGTATGTGTGTATAGAAAGAATAAAGAGAGATTAGGGAATATATTTGACGGGGGATCAGCTTCAATGTGAACTCTGACAAGGGAATCGAAGACTCTCTTGTTAAGTTCTTAGAGTATTTCTGAGAGTAGTCTGCTTATTCCAGATGTGGGAACAATGTCACCTTCTTGTGTATTTCATCAGCGGCCACCACTCTTTCTTCTTATGTCATACTATTAAGACCATAATTAAGAAGAAGAAGCCTTGGCAATGAACCAATGGTACAAAGAAGAGTTTCGTGACATCAATTTTGAGAGTGATCCTGCCAAAAACGAAAAGGGGGAGAGAGAGACGAAAGCTCGAGAGATACTGAGAAAGGAGGAGGTTTGATGTCTCAAACCCTAGTCTTTCTCTTTATATATACATAAATTATATAAATTTTTTAAACATATCAGTTTGAGTTCGAGTTCATTATTTCGGATTGGGTTTGGGTTGAACCTGTGAATACGAGTATGACTCGAATTTAATTCGGGTTGAGATTTCTTTTGTTGAAGCCCAGTCCAAAATTTAAAAACTTCAACCCAAGAATCTCATGAATGTAGGTTGATTAGCATAAATCTACACATTGAACATATATGGTCCATCCACCACAAACACAAACCATCCAATCAATCCCCACAGGGCCACAACATTTAGGAAAAATGTATACCGACATAATTGATGAATCATTTCTAGCAACAATATACTAGCCCACATCCTCACACCTACGAACAAATAGTGGTTTGACAACTCGCAAGGAACCAACTCCACTAGGAGTGATCGAAAACCATCAAACTCATCAAGGTAGAAAAACCTCTAATACTTTTTGACTTGAATTCGAGTGTAATCTACATTTATCACACCCACCCATACAAAAGATAATTCTATACTTTTCATACAATCCATATATCTCACAATTTGTATTTTCATAATTCTCAAAATAGACGAGTAATCTAATTAAAATATGCAAACGATCGTAAAAAAATATATCAAACTTGACCATAATCAATTATCAAGAACATGTGATTTTGGATGTAAAATCGTGTATTTATTCAAGAAACGAATTATGTAATCAAAAGAGTATGAAAAAACATTGTGTATATATCATAAATATTAGAAATTGAATAAAAAAGATACATATAATAACCCTAAGCCTCAATGAATAGATTTGAGAAAGAAATTATACTTAATCCACGAATAATTGATTCTAATGTGGTTTGGTGTGATTCTCAATTGTCAATCCTTCAAGAACAAACCTGTTGATCTTCTTTTCTTTTTAACCAAACCGTCTTACACTTCCTAGGTTGAAAAAAATGTATAAGAACCCTAAAATGTGTCTCTGGGGTATTTATAGTGTCAAAATCAAAGAAAACACTCAAACCATTTCAGGCTTGACTTCGAACATGCATCTAGATAAGTGTTTTTTTTTTGGTGTCTGGAAAGACTAAACTCGTTGCAAAATGTGTCTGGACACGATATTCTCGCATTCAGACGCGGGAAACTTTCTGGCCCGAACTTCCAGTTCGATTTTAACTTAGTTAGAAGTCAATTTATGAGAGTATGAAATACACTTTTGTAACTCTTGAAGTCTACTTTTTAATGTCGTAAGAATCAGCTTAATCGGACATTGAGATAACAAATTATGGCCAAAATACTGAGATAATGTCAAATTCCTTCATACCTAAATTCCCTCCAAAATACGTTTTAACCTGGAACACCTTCACACTTCATATTACATATCTTCGGATTTTTCAACCTCATAGATTCAATGGCAGCATTATTTGGCCTAAAAATATTTAGAAATTTATCTAGTCACATTTCTGAAGCTTAAACACAATCGAAACTATATTTTGAACCGACAGTCAGTATGCGTGAAACTCAAACTTCATGATCAACATTTCTATAATGATTTAAAATTTCTACTATCATATTATTTATCTTAAGAGAACTTTTAAAATAATCTTATATTTATTTAATTATAATATAGAAATTTTATAATTGAGCTCAGATTGACTCGCCCAAATTTCACTGCTATGTAGAATCCACTAAAACATCAAAAAATCGAACTCCATCCTCCCTTTTCACCTTACAAATGCAGAATATCACAATGGTCCTTGATACATTCACAAACCCCCCAACCCATCAATACACAGCCATCCCACTTCTTCCCTACCTTCCAATTAAAAAGAAAAGTTTCAAATAAAAAAATAGATTAATTACACTAGAAGTTCCCAAAGTATAGAATTTGTCTTATTTTGATCCCTGAAATATTGAATATATTTCTATCTAATCCCTCAAGCAGATAATATCCAAATTACTAACGATTTTTTATCATAAATTTGTCATGTAATACTTAAATATGAAAATAAAAAATTTGGGTAATTCTTAACCAAATTTGGGTAGTTTTGACAAAAAAGAGTAATATGTGTAGTTCTTGATCAAAATTTAGATAACTCATGATCAAAACTGTGTAATTTAGGTAGTTCTTTGATAATAATTTTGGGTTAAATTTTGGTCAAAAATTATCTAAATTATTTTTTTTACAATTTTTAGTATTACGTGACAAGTTTATAATAAAAAAATTATTAATAATTTAGACGTTGTCTATTTAAGGGATCGCATAAAAATATATTAAATATTTTAATGACTAAAATAATATAATTGAGATATTAATAATCAAAATAAGATAAATTTATCTTATACTTTAAGAATTTTCACTGTAATTAATCCTAGAAAATTAGACAGGGGCACTTTTGTACTTTAAACTGTTGGACTTCCTTTTTAAAACACCCCCCACCTCTTCCGCGCCACCTTGCGCTCATTCCCCTCTTCCCTTCCCTTCCCTTCTCTCTCTCTCTCTCTCTCTCTTCCCCACTACATCCATGGATCCCGTTAACGATTGGGGTAACACCCCTCTCGGCACCGTCGACCCAGAAATCCACGACCTCATAGAGAAAGAAAAACGCCGGCAATGTCGAGGAATCGAGCTAATCGCCTCCGAGAACTTCACCTCCTTCGCCGTCATCGAAGCCCTCGGCAGTGCCTTAACGAACAAATACTCCGAAGGCATGCCCGGAAATCGATACTACGGCGGCAACGAATTCATCGACGAGATCGAAAACCTCTGCCAATCTCGAGCCCTCATGGCCTTCCACCTCGACCCCACCAAATGGGGTGTCAATGTCCAGCCATATTCGGGTAGTCCAGCTAATTTCGCTGCGTACACAGCTGTGCTTAACCCACATGATCGGATTATGGGTCTGGATTTGCCTTCTGGAGGACATTTGACTCATGGGTATTATACTTCTGGTGGGAAAAAGATCTCCGCCACTAGTATTTACTTTGAATCTTTGCCTTATAAGGTAAAAATTTTAGAATGATAATTGTGATAAGCCCAAATCTTAGATTCATATCTGCATTTGGCATAGTTGGTTTTATAGGGAGAATGATAGAAATGAAGACGGGATAGCTTCAGCTCTTATTGATTTGTTCTTATTTTGAATTCAATTGTTGATCTTTTCTTGGTTTACTTGCTTGTTATTAGGTGGATTCGAAGACTGGGTATATTGATTATGATAAGTTGGAGGAGAAGGCGATGGATTTCAGGCCAAAACTGATTATTTGCGGAGGGAGTGCATACCCCAGGGACTGGGATTACAAAAGGTTCAGAGAAGTTGCTGATAAGTGTGGAGCTCTTTTGCTTTGTGACATGGCTCATATCAGTGGCCTTGTTGCTGCTCAGGTATAATTATCGATGTTCTTTTCTTTCAATTGCGGTTATTATACGTGTCTTTTACTTTTGGTACAATAGGATCAGTATTTGGGTTTAAAATTGTTTTTATGATAATGGATGTGGTGATTTGGGTTTTGGTTGGTCGAATTAGGTTGATTTTGGGGAGTTTGCTCCTGGATTTTTTTTTATAATTTTTGGTGTCTTGATGAAATGCGGAGATCCGCATTTAGGAATTAGAAATGTTGGTTCAATGTTGACACCTAACATTTTCTTGCCCGTTTAATTTTTGATTGCATTGTGCTTTGAAATTAGATGTACCAGAAAAATTGTTTTTACATTAGATTTTTGTGAATCTGGTTTCAGTAAGATGTGTAATGTGTGTGTTGGTTGTGAAAAACTAGGTTACATTTTGTCTGAAAACAGGTGGCTAGGCTTTTTCATTGTTTTTCTCTGTGGTGTTGGTGCTACTTATTTGAATAGTTCATGCAGGTCTTCATCCTTGCTTAAAGTTACTTTCTAGAATGACATTCATATGATGTTTTAGTCATTTTAGCATTGGGCTTCTGACCTGCAAATAGATTAAATATCCAAGATCTCTGTTTTATGACACTATTTTAGATCTGAAGATTATACAATTGGCATTGGTTGCTTTGTCTGCAATGGTGTTTTTTCAATGATGTGGTCCTGACGGTGTCATGAAGTGTCTTTATTTGATAAATGTGAACAAGATCCAAACCTGCTTTTGTATATTTAATTATGCAGGCTATTGATAAAAAAGAGAATGCAATATATGGTTGTAAATGGTTGCGAACAAAATTTCTGGATCTAGTAATTAGGTGGGAAATGTAAGATGTGGAGGAGAGCTTAGATGTATACACATTCCTATTTCGGGCTTTTAATATAATTTATTTGGTTAATTGCTTTTTACCTCCTAGTGGTTTTGGCTAAAAGCACCTTATTTACCTGACATTTAAAATTATGCACATTACCTCTTATAGTTGTGTATCAAAGTAAAATGATTATTTATTATTATCTAAGTTAATGGAGAGTGTGCTCCACATGCCCAAAACATGTTGTGGGTTTTGTTTCCATTGTTTCCCTCCAAAAAAGACATTGTCTAAGTACCTAAAATACCCTTTATAATATATGGTATAATACCCAATCGGTCTTAGATCAAAAAACATGCAAGGAAAACATAAGTGATTTTTAGCCCGGATCAAAACCTCACTTGAAGAAAAAAGAGACTCAACATGTTTGATTGAAATGTGTTGACTTGTTGTCATGTTCCATTAGTTTTATGTTCAAGAGTAAATCAAATAAAAAGTTGATTTTAAAACGTGGGTATTATATTAATTTTTTAATTTTGTTAACGGCGTTGATTATTTCATTTTAGTACATAACTCTAAGGGCGTAATGTGCATAATTTTAAGATAAGGTGTTTTTAGCCAAAACCATAGTGGGGGTAAAAAGTAATTAACCCTAATTTATTCTACTACATTCGAATCACAGGGCAATTTTTGTGAACAACCTGAACATCAAAAGTGTTTGAGCACTAACTTGAATTTCTTTGCAAAATGACCGTTCGAATTAGTGACAATAAGAATTTAAATTATCATCATTGTCGACATTTTTTCTTTATAAAAATTGGCTTTAAGTTCTNCAACCTGAACATCAAAAGTGTTTGAGCACTAACTTGAATTTCTTTGCAAAATGACCGTTCGAATTAGTGACAATAAGTATTTAAATTATCATCATTGTCGACATTTTTTCTTTATAAAAATTGGCTTTAAGTTCTTGATTATTCTCTTAGATCTTGTTGATTAGGGGATTTTGTTTTCATTCTTACAGTTCTTTTCTCTGGTTGTAGGAAGCTGCAGATCCCTTTGAGTACTGTGATTTGGTCACAACCACAACCCATAAGAGCTTGAGGGGCCCTAGGGCTGGTATGATCTTCTACCGGAAGGGCCCTAAACCAGCCAAGAAGGGTCAGCCAGAAGATGCAGTTTACGACTTTGAGGACAGGGTCAACTTTGCTGTTTTCCCTTCTCTCCAAGGTGGTCCTCACAATCACCAGATAGGTGCTTTGGCTGTTGCTCTGAAACAGGCCATGTCTCCCGGGTTCAAGGCCTATGCCAAGCAAGTCAAGGCCAATGCAGTTGCCCTTGGAAACTACCTTATGAGCAAAGGCTACAAACTCGTCACTGGCGGGACTGAGAACCACCTTGTTCTATGGGACCTGCGCCCTCTTGGATTGACTGGTGAAAAGATTGAATTATTCAGTTTATGGGAGTAATTTTTGACAGACGTTAGTGTACATTAAAAATCTTCATTATCCTTTGCTGCTATTGCAGGCAATAAGGTTGAGAAGCTCTGTGATCTATGCAACATTACTGTGAACAAGAATGCTGTTTTTGGTGACAGCAGTGCCTTGGCCCCTGGAGGTGTTCGGATTGGTAAGAATTGCTGCTGCAAATACTTTATCTGTTAGTTAGAACTACTAGTGTTTGGACATTAATGTGAATGTCCATTTGTAAGCAACTTTTGAGAAGAACAAGTTCTGCTGCTCACAAAAGAGCATTTTCTGCAGAATTTCAAATGACAATCTTAGGGAATAAAAGGTGGACATGAAGATGGAGTCTTAAACTTCGAATAGCTTATCTTGAAATCCGTTTTGTCCGAACTTACCCAAACGGTTCTTTATGATTTTCCTTCTGACCAAACCTAATAAAATATCCAACTAAGGTGGTCCATGATCAAGTTAATATGATGCAGGCGCTAGATAAGATAGCTTAATATTTAAGATAAATGTGAAGAAAATATGAATAGCAAAGAAACAGAAAATAAGAAACTTGGGCAGAAGTCTTTCATTGCTTTCTGTACACTCCAGCGACCAACCCTTCTTTCCAACAATCAGTACCACATTAGACTGTTGTCCATCTTTCCTTCACTTGCCTTGAGGAATGCAATTTTGACTCTGATTACGTTTAAATATTTAATATCCTTGCAGTTTAAGGCAGGCCCCAGTGTGTTACTTGTTTTTCTGTAAAACATTAAAGTTGCTTTCTATGCACTCTATCAACCAATCCATCTATTCACAGACCAGCAATGCATGTAGACTGGTGTCCATGTGATGTAGGACAGCTGTGTAAAATCAAAATATGGGTTGTTTAGGGCTGTGACAGTAACTTGAACAGTAAAATAGGATGTGACCAGTAACGTAAATAGTAAAATAGGCTAGGAATCACTCCTAGGGTTCCTTAGGCATCATACCTAGGGTTAGAATTGCATCACACAAGAAGCATGTAATTGCTGAAATTTATGAAATATCTCTCTATATCTTTTATTAAAAGTAACACTAATTATAGCATTAAATATATATAGAGTTCTAAGTACTCGNGAAGCATGTAATTGCTGAAATTTATGAATATCTCTCTATATCGTTTATTAAAAGTAACACTAATTATAGCATTAAATATATATAGAGTTCTAAGTACTCGTAATCCCAAAAGATTAGAATTGCAAAGTCTCTAGGACTCCAAAAACTCTAGGTCCCTAAAAATTAGAAAACTAAAATTAACTAGAATTAAGACTTTAAATTCTAGAATATTCACTAGAATTTGACTCAAAAATAAGAACCATTCCAAAAAANTATATATAGAGTTCTAAGTACTCGTAATCCCAAAAGATTAGAATTGCAATGTCTCTAGGACTCCAAAAACTCTAGGTCCCTAAAAGTTAGAAAACTAAAATTAACTAGAATTAAGACTTTAAATTCTAGAATATTCACTAGAATTTGACTCAAAAATAAGAACCATTCCAAAAATTTTAGAAATTACAAAAATACCTCTGGCTCTAAAAAAATATTAAAAGGACATATAAATTACTAATACCAGTAAAATGACTTAAAATAAGACTCAAAATACAATAATGTAAGGTTCCATATGAATTTTTGTCTTGATGAAAAGTCAATTTCATTATCTTTCACATCTTCGAATTTGCGCTTCCTTGAACATCTTATGGATTGCATCACCATGTTTGCTTGACCTGTCTTGAGGAATGCAGTTTTGCTGTTTGAATACATTTATATTTATATATAATTTAATAGGCAAGACCCCAATGTGTATTTCTTTTCCTGCAGAACATGAGAGTTGAAAACAACCATTCTAAATAAAAGTTTTGGTGTTAATCAGTGCCTTTGTTCTTTCTGTTTGTAGGTGCTCCAGCCATGACTTCAAGAGGTTTGGTTGAGAAGGACTTCGAGCAAATTGCAGAGTTTCTCCACAGAGCTGTGACCATCACCTTGAAGATCCAGAAGGAGCACGGAAAGCTTTTGAAAGACTTCAACAAGGGTCTGGTGAACAACAAAGACATCGAGGAACTGAAGGCTGACGTTGAGCAGTTTTCATCCTTGTTTGACATGCCCGGCTTCTTGATGTCCAAAATGAAGTACAAGGAATAGGTCTGAACTCTGTTCTTTCTGGTGTTTGACTCATAAAGTTTTCACTTCAAGTTTCTTAATTCAGTGTCCACGGCAATGAGAAATAAGTCATCTATTTGCCTCTTGTTTTTGTATTGTAGGTGAAGTTATTTGCTCTATTAACATCGTAGGTGGCTCAGGTTGTGAGAGTCTGAGTTGTGGTGTTACTAAATAAGTTAATGCATTGTATTTGCTTTCATTTCTTCCATTCCACTGATTCGGTTCTGAGTAAGAGTTACTTCACTTGTGTTTATAGTATATTGAAATTAAAATTTAGGATTAATTGCACTTTTGATTCATAAAGTATGATTTTTTTGTTAGATTAATATTCAATGTATCAATTTTATCAATTTGGTTCCTAAAATATTCAGTTCGTGTCATTTTGATCTCCACATAGATGGACCATTAAGTTTTTTTACAGAAGTGATCACGTGTCATTTTTTTAGACGGTATCATGTTGTTACAAATTAGGTATTTTAGGGACCAAATAGACATTAAACGCGTACTTTGAGGACTAAAAGTGTATTTTACGCTCTCTTTTTAATTTGTTATAAGGTGTTTAAGTTTGTATTGATTATTTTCTAGCCTTGGTGGTTAGCCACCGTGGCTTGAGCTTGAGTTGGGTACCCTATTCGTTTTGTTTATTTCTGTGCTGGTTTTCAATTCTTTCTTAAAATGCAGGGTACAGTGTACGAATTTGTGGAGGTCCTCAAAGTCGATGGAGAGCTTGTCGCAGGTTATATGTTGTATATCACATTCAAAGCCCAGGATGCTGCAACTGCTGATGGAGAAGATGATTCTACTAAAATATTTCAAGCCCTGGTGTGTCGTGGGATAGTTAAAAACGAAGTCGATTTTTGTAGGCTGAAACCCAAACCGAGTCATTCAATAAGAGATTTGAATTCCGGTTGGCTAGGGCCAAAATCTGTTAGGTTGATTAATCCGTGGCTCGGCAAGAGACACTCTACCTTTGTCATATTGTTCTACTTTTGTCACGTGTCCCTATTAAATGATCTAACTATGAGCAATAATACTTTGAGCCAACTACATACCATTGGTTTTCATTCGTAGCTTACGTTTTCTCTTGGATCATCAATATTTATAAAAAGATCCAATTTTATTTACCTCAATAACTCTGGGTTTAATTGTTTTGAAACTCTATCACCATCTAAATTATTGTTTACAATGTTTAAAACTCTCTGTTAGTTATTTTTTTTGATTGAAACGATCTTGAATTTCATTAAGAGGAAGCATTTAGATCATGTTGGAGGAGAGACAACAAGAGCACACAAGACACTGCCCTCTCCATTACATAGGATCCATACAACTTTTTCAGAAATTTTGCTAAACTATTGGCCACCTCGTTGCTTTTTCTACGAACCCATGATACAGAGAACTCCGAAAACCCGACAGAATAGCCCTTAATTTGATCAACAAATTTGCCAATTTCAGAGTAATCTGTAGTTCTTCATCATATTGCTTCAATGATCTGTTTAGAATCACCTTCTAACACGACTATATCATATACGGCCTCAATTCTTTTGCAAAAACACAGCACAAACGCCCCTTGCCAGTCTCTAACTACAACCCCCACACCAGCGCAGCCGATTGAGTCAAATACCGCTCCATCAAAATTAATTTTAACCACCCCGAATGCAGGAGTAATCCATTGGTCATCATGAGATATGCTCATGTTGTGATCTATACGAGTTACAAAATTGAATTGCCACTACTGATTGAGGTATGAACTAGTAAACTCAGTAATCTGGTCAGGAGAACTAGAGGGTTCTCCAAACCTGACCTTATTCCTGTTAAACTATATCGACCAAAGTGTGGTAAAAAACACACAAAGCTGCTCAGAAGTTAGATTAATACTCAACAAATGGAGTGGTAGATTCACAAATTTTTAAATTTCTTCTTGAAGTATAAAAAGCTAATCAAAATTGAAAATCTCATAAAGTGTATGAATTAAATTCTTTCCTATGACAAGATCTACGAGAGGTAAGTGATAGACAACTTCAATCTTATTATAGACACGCTAATTCCTAAACTTGAATGTTTGATCTATCATTTCAATATAGGGGCATTTGTCATGACTTTGAACCCAATACGTAGAAATATGTTGAAAATTAAGTAGGACTCGATTTCAAATCGTATTGGAGTATAAACAACTCTTTAACCATTCAAACACCACCACTTAAAAACCCACAAATTGACTATGAAGATGTTATTGCAATTAAAGGGTATGGCTCATTAGGAGTCTCACACAACAAATCCCATGAGATAAAGACTAAATCTGTTTCTTAGGATATGGTAAAAGATTTAGTTTCACTTAATGCAGATATTGCTTCCTTTGGTAGACAATGACAACTGTGACTGCGTAGTTTAAATGACACTCCTTTATCTTCTTATTATTAGCCTATTCCAACACAATTAGTGCCCCAAACATGCATCAGGTCCACAAATACAAAATCTAAGAACTATAAATAATGGCCCCTCTATCCCATTCTAAATACACACCATCTTCTCTTTACATTCTTGAAGGGATTTGTATTCTTCGTGCTGATAAACAATGATTACTGAGTCGGGTGCTCGGAAAGAGGTAGCAGTGGTAGTGATGACCATGTTACTTCTTCTTGTAGTAGTATTGGTGGTGCATGCCAAAGGCCACAACACAAAGGTGAATTGTGTCCCAGAGTGCTACTCCGAATGCCTGCAAATTAAGATATTCACTTTGCGTGAATGTAGGAACGAGTGTGTGTATGCTTGTGACAAAACAGTTCATGGCGGCGTAGCCAGTGGCCGTGATGAAAATCAACGAATTATCGATGAATCTGAAGATGGCGTCGTGTTATCTGTTTCGGAGTAGAATTGCGGGAAGAAGTAGTGCAAGACAGTTAACACTTTTATGCTATCTGTCATTTGTTCTCGAGGAAGCTGGTGTTAATCTTGTTCTTCATAGTTATGAAAATTTTAGGACAAACTTTTTGTACACATACTCCTGGTTTCATGAAATTTTTGTAATGTACAGGTTAATGCATCTTTCTTTTTTGTGTTTAATAAGACCTATACAAAGCAGTAAGTTATCCAAAGATCCTCTTTCTATTGGTGGGCTAGTTACATATATAGAACATATGGAATAGTGACGGAGTCAGAAAAATATTCTATGGTTAGAACTCTAACACATTTTATTCTAATCGATAAAAATAAGATGACATATTTATACTATTTATTTCATAAATGATTCTTAAAAAATGTATGCGTATATGTGTACAACAGAAAAAGAGATTAATTATAGTCTTTTATTGAAAATGATGTTAATTGTAATTAGTTACAATTGACATAACAAATTTTCATATTTTGATAAAGTTGTATGATGACTTCATTATTAATGACTAATAAAATTAATACCAAACTCATATATGTGCACATATACCACGTATTTTTTATTTTAAAATTTTGTGAGCAAAATCACAATTCTCTATTAGGTTTTAAACTCAATGCTAAAGTGCACATCAATAATAAATGGTCAAGTTGATCAAAAAATTTTAAAATAAACCCAATATGTCCGAAGTGTGTCAATTGTTAGTCATTTAGATATGAGTTTGTACTAATTATTATGATAAGAAAATAGAGTAATGTCATAGGGACCTAATTCAATGTAGTTGTTAGATTAGTTGTGGGTTCTAAAGTTAGATAAAACCCATTTCTAAATCAATAGTTATATTGGATTAGGTCTCCAAATTCAATCTCAATAACAATTTTTAAAAAATAAATAGGTTGACATTAATTAGATATATTTAATATATATATATATATATATATATAAAACATGATATATTTCAATAAGTTCATTCGACAGTCTCAAATAAATTCATCTAACGGCAACCAACATCCTTCTCAAAACCATTTATATTGCTAATGGTAAAACAAAAATTGAGGGTGGGCACATGCCTACCCCGGTCCTTAAGTGGTTCTGCCACTATTATGGAAAGAATTTAAGTGGATGAAATTAATAATTTCATATTAATTTATTCAAAAATGGAAGAATTAAGAAAATAGAGAGGGAAGGTTTTCTAAGAGCTCCTTCCGTTTCGCTAATTTGGTTGTTTATATACAAATAGATTTCGAAACTAGTTGGGTAGTCAGTAAGATATTCTTTCATATCCTATACCCTGTCTCATTCTCTATTTTCTGAAGTTTTGATTTTTGAATATGCTATTTAAACATAAAATTTTAATTTAATTTAATTTTTTGACATTATGATATAGTTTTATCAGAACCATTGGATCAAGAGCAAGTTTCAATGTTTTAAGTGTCTCACAATCAATCTAAAAGTCATAATAAATCAGGTCAGCAAATTAAATTAGATTTTTAAGTCTAAATAACATTAATTGTTCTTAATTTTTTAACTCATCATAATTACTAATTTCCTTTGGGGCCACTTTGTTGTCCAAAACTTTTATATATTAGTTATTGCACACGTATATTGAACGTTGACTTCTTGAAAAGTAGCTAAAAATCCCCAAAAAAAAAAAAAATCAATATGAACCACTATGGCAAACCTCAAATGAATTGGTTGTTATGAAAATAAAAATTCTATGCTTCCCAAAACATATCCCAAATTCTCCAACCCAAATGCTTATTTATCACGCATTAGAGGAATAAACTGATTGTTTGGGCCNAATGAAAATAAAAATTCTATGCTTCCCAAAACATATCCCAAATACTCCAACCCAAATGCTTATTTATCACGCATTAGAGGAATAAACTGATTGTTTGGGCCTCACAACGGTCTAGAAGCATTTGGGATGGATAATTTCAGATATATTTTGAGAAGTATAACATTGTTCGAGAAGAAATTTATCTGTAGAGAGAAAACCGGTTTAGTCATTAAGTTATAATTACAATCCCTAATAGATTAGGAGCCAATCAAAGTACTTTTCACATTGACTAATGAGATGAATTATTTTGCACTCATTAAGATTGGCAAGATTATCTTTAACAAACCAAATAATAATTTAGTATGAGAATAGTAGTATCAATTATAACTGAAGAATGGGTTAGTTTTAAAAATATTAGTTGCAAAAAAAAAATTGGGAATAAAAATTTATCAAATCTTCTATCTCTTGGAAATCTTCTAAGCATCAAGCAAACCAAAATAGAGCAGTTTTGATCAAATTAGTAAGGAATTACCAGAGTTAAAACAACAACATTTATGTACCTAGGGTGCAACTTGGACAGGTTAATCCGAATACAATCCGATCCAAACTAAAAAAAAAAAAACAAAGCTTGGGTTAAACTTTTTAATACCTGGGTTGAATCTGGGTAAAAAAACTTCAACCCGAATTGAATTCGGGCAAGCCTCGGGTTGAGGCATCGAGTTGTCAGGTTCAACCCAAATATTAAAATCAAGTTGAACCAGAATATACATAAATATATTTAACTAGGGTTAATATTTGTCCTCCTTCTTCAAAGTCCATACTTTCACTTCACTTTAAATCTTCACTCTTGCGCCTCCCTTACTCTCAGATTTCTCTCACACTCGTCACTTGTTTCTCATTTGGTCTCAGACTCTCAGTTTTCCTCTTTCACTCATCACTCCTCCGTCTTTTATTAATCCGAATTAAGTAACCCGAGTCTAACCCTATTTTTAATCTAAAATTAACCTGAATTAAGTAATCCAAATTCAACCCGAGTCTGCCCAAATTAAACTCGAGCAATACTCGGGTTGAGTACTTCGAGTTGAGGTAGAGTTAGGATTAGGATTATGATTAAAGATTATATATCTAAAATTAGTTTAGGTTTGACGTCTCAACCTGTCCAACCTACTTGAGTTGCACCCTTACTTGTTAGCCATATGGAAAATTGTGATTCTTGGCAACATTGGAAGCCCTTGGACCCTTTTTTTTCTTTTCCAATGGATAAATTATACTTTATCGCTTTGAACTATTACCTTTGTTTTATTTGTTCTCTTAACTATAAAATTTCTCACATTGTATCATAAAATATTAATTTTATGTCATATCACTCTAATAGATAACGGCTCTTAATTTTTTGACAGTAAATGTGCTTGTGAGTCACTTGTACTGTCAATATGGAACTGTCTATT